AGAAGAGAGCAAATAAGAACATAGCAGGGATGATTCACACCAAGAAAAGAAGAAGAAGAGTTACAAAAATTTTTAAGAACCTTTTCCAGAAACCCTAATCGAAAAGAAGTAACTTTTGAAAGAAAATCGGAGAAAACGTTTAAGAAACTTAAGCAAAGTGCAAACATATGACAGATCTAAAAAATAATCAGAAAAAACCTCGAGTAATTAAGGTTTCAGAAAACCCTGAATGAGAAAGGCTTGGAAAAGTCCGATCTAAGTCGGATGAGGTCAGAAACAGGCTCAGAAGACCAAGAGCCATCGTAGCAAGGCCAGAGATGGCCGGAATCTTCAAATCGGTGAAGGTCTGAGTGAAGCCCTTCGAGGTCTGACCTCGAACCTTCGAGCATCAGGCATGCAAGAGACGGAGGAGGTGAGTATAAGCTGTCCATGGCCTGAGAAGCCATGGACTCCGGTGAAAACACGATGGAACAAGGTAGGAGGGGGCTAGGGTTCCGAAGAACCTTGAGAGAGTCTTGAGAGAGTTTGGGATTCAAGGGCGGCTGAAGGGTGGAAATGAGGCTAGGGTTAGAGGGGTTATGGGATTAAAAAAGAAAAGGACGAATCACGGCCGTTGATCAAAATGATCAACGGCCAGGATTAAAGGGGAAGTCGGGCGGGTCTGAAAACGGGTCAAGGGGTCGGGTAAAAATTGAAATTGGGTTGTTTCAATTTGGGCGGAACTGGGGATCAATTTGAGGCTAAAATTGAAATAATAATGGGCTGTGTTAAATAGCCAATTTCCTCTTTTTATTTTATAAAAAATAGCTAAAATTATTTTAAAAATAAATTAAAATCACTGAACTAATTAATAATATATAAATATTAATCTAAAAATGCTGGAAATGATTTTATAATTGCAAAACGTTATTAATCGTAATATAGTCCATAATTGCAATTTTATGTAATTTAGCTTAAAAATATCAAATGAATTTGTAAAAATATGCAAAAATCACGTTAATTATATAGGTGTGACTATGAGTATGGAAATAAATTATTCACCAAAATGATAATCTCGGAAATAATTATTGGATTTTGTACTATTAAAATAGACAATAAATTGGTTTTGAAAATCTTTAAAAATTTGGGGAAAATACCAAAATACTTAGGCATGCTTATATATGCATACACATGCTATTTTGACAGTATTTTGAGTATAAAATATATATAGAGAAAAATTGGGTATCAACAATACGCCTACCACAAGATATAATGAAAGGGAGCGGGTGGTACGCCTACCACGAGATATAATGAAATGGGAGCGGGTGGTACGCCTACCACAAGATATGAGAAATGGGATCGGGTTGCACGCCTACAACAAGATGAAACTGAAAGTGAAAGTTGTCTTATTTCTCTTTATCCGTGTTAGAAGTTAAATTGTAGTTTCCTTACTATTCTTTGATATTCTGTTTTATCTGCTACCCCCGGAGCATGTTTCCCCTTTCCCAACTTTGATTGCTTATTACCTGTTTACTTTTCTGCCATATAGTATATAACTGCACAGGTTTATCTGGAGTCTGGTCCTAGCCTCGTCACTACCTCGCCGGGGTTAGGCCAGACACTTACCAGCATATGGGATCGGTTGTGCTGATACTACACTCTCTGCTCTTTTGCACAGATCCAGGTCTTGGACAGCAGTAGTAGCGCGGGAGCCAGCTTTCAGTCCAGTGGACACCGAGGTAGCCTTGCAAGCGTTCGCAGGCCCGACGTCTCCTCTATCTTTATTTCAGTATGTTATCTCATGTATTCGAGACAAACAGTTTATATTTTTCTTTCAAATGGTTGTATTTAGTACTTTTAGAAGTTCGTGAGTAATGTGACACCAGTTTTTTGGTAGAGGCATATGTTGATTTCCGTATTATTGTTCAGTTTCTTTAATTTAAGTCTTCCGTATATTCATTAAATTCCGTTGTTTTTATGCTATCACTGATAATCGTTAAAAGAAGTGATTTGTTAATGAAGTAAGCTGTTAAAGATTGGCTTGCCTAGTTCACATTAGTAGGCGCCATCACAACTCCCGAGAGTGGAAATTTCGGGTCGTGACACCCAGCATAACTAATCACAGCATAATTTATTCCAACATAACTTATACTGGCATAACTTATACCGGCATAAGCCCTATTCCAACCAAACGACCCCTTAAAGAGAGAGTATACCACTATATATACATATTACCATACAGTTTTATACCCCAAGATAACAAGTGTATAATTTTAATGTAATGTTCTCGGCGGAGAATGCACTACACACTTTTCTTTTAATTTCAAGTATACCTTCATTCATATGGAGATTGTATAACCTCTTTTTCAGGTAGAGGCAGTTTGTTAGCAATTTCTTAGAATACAGATCTTCCAGCTTCTTCCATGCCATTGCTGCAGAAGTTTCTTAAGCAATTTCCCGAAGAATGTTATATGTAACGTTCATGAAGATCGCATTCAAAGCCCTCTCCTTTAGGTCTGCCTTCTCTGTCAGGAAAATCCTCCACGTACAGATAGATAGGGAGAGGGACGAAAAGAAAAACCTAGCAATTGTCCTTTTCTTCAAGACAGCACCGCACAAACGGCAGATCAATTTCTGGTAGCATGATTTCCTTCATCTTCATCAGTTGCTTTCTTTTCCAAGAACACGAGGCCACCATACTTTTCCTAGGGGTCGTTTAGTAGCATTAGCTTTGTGCATTATTAATCCCTTATATTAGTTATACTTCAAATTTTGTATTATCCTATGTATAACTAATACATAATAAATTATGATTTTAGCAATGCTAAGGATTTTTAATACTTGCATAAGCATGATTAAAAACATAATTATTTCTCAAATCCCTCAAAATGTACAAAATAGGGAGGGTATTTTTGTAAACAACTAATCTTTTTAGAAATTATACAATGCTTTAATGCACCAATTCAAATAGTGAATAAGAAATCATCTCAGCATAATTAATATCAGCATTAATAATACCAACATTATTAATACACTTTATTCAGCGCTATTTTTGTACCTCCTGCCAAACGACCCCATATTATAGAAATAAAAATTAGTAGGCGTTTGACATCGATAATTAATTTTTAGACAGCATACGGTGGTACAATGTTGTTCAAAGCCTATGAAATAGGGTCAATTATTATTTAAAAAAAGCAACTTTCTGAATGAAAAAGTGATTCTCACAAGCGTGAAGGCAAGACAGCAGTATATTTCAACCCTAAAACTCCACACACTTCCGGAACCAACGATTTCCTCAGCTCTGCATACGTCTTGCCATTCCAACGCTTCTTCCCCAGCTCCTCCGCCAGTCTCACGGCCGCAACCACCGCCTCCTCCGCCGTAGGATGCGCAGAATCCACAATTCCCACCGCCACCGCCTCCTCCGCCTTCATTTTCGTTGCTTTCAAAACCAAATTCCGCCGAGCAGCTGCGGATCCAACCTTAGACCTTATCATCGCCGTAAAATAGTCTGGCAAAGTCATCCCTATATCCAACTCGCTCATATACACCACTCCTTTATCCGATCTCATGGTTACATAATCATGGCATATCGCTAGCAGCATCCCCGCCGCCGCAGCGTGGCCGGTGACGGCGGCGATGGTCGGAATTGGGAGTGATAGGAAATCGGCGACCAGCGGCTTGAACAAGGCCACCATGTTGTGTAGCCGATCTTTGGCAGCTTGCGCTGAACCGGCGGCTTGTGCATACTTTAGGTCAAAGCCGTTAGAGAAGAATCTGCCTTGGGCTTTTGTGATCAGAACGGAACCCTTCACGGCTTGGGATTTAACTTCGGCTACAAATGAACGGATGGTGGCGATGAGAGTAGGATTCAGTCGGTGCTCATCGTCGCCGNGGCGGCTTGTGCATACTTTAGGTCAAAGCCGTTAGAGAAGAATCTGCCTTGGGCTTTTGTGATCAGAACGGAACCCTTCACGGCTTGGGATTTAACTTCGGCTACAAATGAACGGATGGTGGCGATGAGAGTAGGATTCAATCGGTGCTCATCGTCGCCGGTAAGCGTAAGATAGAAGATGTTGCCTGACTTTTCTAACGTGCACATAGTGGTCAGAAGGGGAGAATGATTTTTTCTCTTTGATATATGTGTTGGACCGGATAAAGATGACGGATACTATATATGAATAATACGAAGGGAAGAACGAGTGGAATATATAATGAATTATAAAATATTTCACCCACTAAAGTTGGCTATTCAATATTCAAAAATGCCAAAATATGTCACCATTGTTATAAATATATTATATTATGAATGTGCATTTAGTATTCTGTTGTAAATAAGCTTCCTGAAGAAGTTTATCCATATTGGACTCCACAGTAAATATGTTTATCTATTTAGTACTATATTGGAAATAAGCTTCCTGAAGAAGCTTATCACTTCAGTATCCGGTTATGGATAAACATTACCCCCAGTAGAAGTTTATCCATATCGGATATAATAAGCTTATCTTTTCAGTACCTATTTATGGATAAATATTACCTCCGGTAGAAGATTATCCATACCAGGTATAATAAGCTTATCACTTCGGTACCCAGTTATGGATAAA